AGTGCCACTAGCACTCAAGGGGTTCCAGTGAATGAAAGTAAGAGTAAAGAAGCATGTTTAAGAAAAGGATATAGAGAAAGACAGGAGTCAGGATCAAGGCATCAGATGTCGATTGGCATTATGTTTGAATATTCAATGATTATAGCTATCAGGGAAGCAAGTAGGAGGAAGGGAGTTCCACCGGCGGGAAGTGCAAGAGAAGAAGCTGTTGGAGTAAAAGAGGCGGTTACATTTAACTGTTTCAACAGTGACAGGGTGGGACCTAAATGCCAACCTAGTAGCACGCTTAAATTCACACAAATGGGGTTCCACTGAAAGCAGCTCGTCAGAGCTGTTACCATGAAAATATTTTTAGAAAGACAGGGGGAAACCACAGCACGTCTGTGAGAAAGCGACTGTAGACGAGATGCCAGATCAAGACCTATCACATTCGTCTCTGTATTTTGTTAAGGACCTCGAGATGAACAGTGGGGGCACCAGACCATATATGGCAACAGTATTCAATGCAAGCACGAATGTGATGGTTTATTAGAATAAAATGCTTCATAGTAATGCATAAAAAGCCAGGTGCAAACGAATGTGAACTCCATCGGACAATCAGCCTAATGAGCCATATAACGAAACTTATCACCTGACTTCTGTTGAATATGCGCGCAGGAGAATTAGATCGGAAACTGGACACGTCACTGGAACAATGAAGGCAATATTTATACTCCAAATGATATCAGAAAGAGCAACACAAATGCAAAAGGATGCTGTTGGAACTGCTCGTTAACCATGACATATTTGGAAAGGATATTAGAATAATCGAGAACATATGTTGGGAGAAAACCGCCTGCGTAAAAATAGAAAGGGGTATAACACAAAGATGTGTCTTCTCACCGGAATTATTTAACCAATACAGTGAGGTGATTCTGAGAGAATTAGAAGTCCTACCAGCATTCATTCTTGGCGGTCACAATCTTAACAATATAAGATATGCTGATGACAGAGTGCTCATAGCAAGCACATGAATAAAACTACAGTAATTCCCACAGAAGGAAAGCGAGAAGAAAGGACTAAACATCAAGTGTAAGAAGCCAGAATGCATGGTTGTTAGCAAAAGGAATAACCCAAACTTCAAATTACAAATTGGAGATACCAAAATCAAATATTGCAACACTTTAAATATCTGGGAAGTGTTTTAACGGAGGGTGGAAAGTGTGACAATAAAATCCGATTGGTACAACAAAAGATGCTTTCTAAAAGCTAAACAAAATTTTAAGAAATAGAAATATTCCATTAGAAACAAAGAAAAGAGTACTGAACTGTTATGTAATATCATTTCTTCTATATGGCAGTAAATGCTGCATTTACTGCTGGATAAACTCATCACAGATGAAGAACTTGAAGTAATAGAAATGTGGCTCTACAGAAGGATGCTGAGAATATCATGGATTGACCATGGAAAGAAAGAGGACGCTTAATTGAAATCTCTAGGTCATAGAATGAAGAAAGAGTACTTCGGAAGTGTGACACTCCCGAGACATATTGATAGCAAGAGTGAAAGAGGAAAGTATCTCATAACCTATCTAATGAGCTTGTGTAAATGGTTGATAGAACAGAGTTTAGGAGAGATAACAAAAAGAAAACAATTACTAAGACTTACAAAAGACAGGATATTTTGGAGAGCTATGATCGCCAACGTCCTGAAGAAGAAGAATCTTATTTAAAATAAAGAATAAAAGAAGAACCTACTGCAGGGGTGGATAAAATCATGAAGAGTTGGGTTAAAAGGAAGATAACTGAGGCAAGGCACGTGGAACTAGAACCCAGGTGGACGAAATAAAGGGTTCATTTCGAAATTCCAATCACCTGAAGAAGGCCGGAGCGTACAACGGCCGAAAAGTCGAGAATATGGCAATAAAAGGGAGGACAACAGCCCGAACAATTTAAATAGATGATTTAAACTATGCCATTTTTGAACGATTGGCAGCAGCCTAGCAAGTGATCATTGCGATGATTTACCAAAAAAAAAAAAAAAAAAAAAAAAATGGAAACATTTTTGCAGATATTGGATTGTAATTTGGAATGACAGCCATTACAAAAAGCATGACTACTCCCGAAAATTGTACCGAAAAGTCTTGGTACAACCTGTCAATAAAAAGAACAAATGATCGTTTGACTTTTCAAGTCACGAAAGGTGACCTGAAAATAAACCTCTTACCAGAAACCAATATCATATTCTATAACTTTCAAGAAGTCGTGGTAGTTCACAGATAATAAAGTAAAGGAAGCTGTGGAGAACCGTGATCGCCTACGCCCTGAAGAGACATGATATTTAAAAAAAAAATCTTTGACGCTATTGTTATTGGTATTTATTCAGTTTTCTAATTAGTATTATCATGCTTCTTTACTAGAGATCAAAGGACAGCATATTTTCTCACTCTTCACAGTATCCTGGGTAAATTTAATAATATTTCTATTTAAATAGTGATTTCTCAGAATTCTTATTCCAACTGCTTCTGTAACAACGGATTTAATTTGTTTCAGTTTTCCTAATGTACATCATATTTTCATCTTTTACTTCTCTTCCGAAATTTAGTTTGAGGTTTTTTGGGACAACAGATTCCATTTTCGAAAAAGAATTTCTTGGCCTTATTATTGTGGATTGGGCTTAGTTTTCTGTCTTGATTTCGTAGAATCTGAATGAAAACCTAAATTATAGGCCAATAATTTTATCATTTCATTCTCTAAAACAGAATCTATATAACATTGGTTTGCATCTTCATACCTCCATCGTTTGCACAATTCCCAGTGATTCACAATTCCCAACCACTGATGTCTATCTTTGTTCTGTCAGAGATAACGATGCATTCGCCTTTTATATGATTTACTCTCTATCTCTGCATTTGTTGTGTAACTGGCGCTTCGTGAACTATTCCGACTGCTATTAATAACAATTTAGTTTCTTTCTTCAAATGTCCTTTGCGCAATCCTAAACATGTCATGTGGTTTGTGGCTCATTTTGTTGTCTCTCAAAATATATTTACTATTTCAATATGTGTTGTTATCTTAGCCGACTCAAGGCAAATGCAAGGATTTTATTTTGTAATAAGTATTTATATACAATATCAAAACATTACATAATTAATATAAAAGGGATAAATGAATTTTATTGCGTTATATTTCATTGGATATTCGTATTTGAGTAGATGCCCAGTTTCTTTTTTTTTTTAACAGTTTGTATTGTATCTACGGGCTTGTGCATTCGAGAATCTTAATAGAGAAAATGTGCCTACCGGAAGTGTTTGAGCCATTGGCGTGTCTTGGACAGTTCGGCCACAATCCAGCTTTTTGGAGGAATTCACCGTTTCATCCAGTGATTTGGATGTCAATCTGAGGACAGTGAAGAGGAATCGGAAATGGTGATTACGAAGGTGTTTGGAGTGACCACTAATGATAGCGACGTTATGCCTCCATTCATCTTCCCAAAGAGCTTAAGACTCAACACGGAGACCTACATCAAGCGCCTTGAGGAGGTAGTGCTGCCCTGGGTCAAGAAGGTGGCTGATGGAAGACACTATGTCTGGCAACAGGACTCTGCACCATGTTACACAAGCAGGAGAACCCAGTCATGGCTGTCAGACAATTTCTGCGACCACATCACACCTTACATCTGGTACCTGACTCCCCTGACTGCAACCCTCTTGATTCCTCCAAACACCATGATGTTGACTGGATATATCATCCAACTCTTTCTGAATCCTCTGCACTCTCCTCAGATTGTCACCCAAACACTCTGAAATATACGTACTGGCACTTCCGGTGTGAAAGCCAAACAGTACAGCATGCTGTTTCCAAATATTTGGCGAGTGAATTGATCCATGGTGCTATCTTTTTCTCATAGTGCCGAACTAACCTTTATTATACTGTGCAGTCGACAAAATAAAACTATCGCCTCTGAGTGTTGATTTCAATGTTCACTTTTATATTTATATTCACACACACACACAGACACACACAGACACACACACACACATATATATATAGTGAGAGAGAAAGCGAGAGATAGTGTGAGGGAGATAGGAGAAAGAGATAGAGAGAATGAATGACAGAGATGAACAGATTATATATAGATTATAGATGGACAGTAGCGTAGACGGAATTCTTTAGCCTTGGTTGGCAACCAGTTTACTTGACTACATACGTGCCCAGACCAATCGATATCGTGTCACAGGTAGAGAATCACTTATCTGAAAACTATGAGAATGCAGAAATTTCTAGGTTTCGAATACTTATATAGTCACCGCATAAATATAGTTACCGTATAAATATTGTTGCCGCAATAATATAGTTACCGAGAGATTATAAATGGATTTATTGGTGGATAGATTTAAATGAATAGATTATATAGATGGGTAAATTTATTCAGACTGATCATATTTAGATGGATATACATATTTATACAGACGAATAGATTATAGATAGATTATAGATTTATACGGTACTATAGATAGAATTAAATAGGTAGACCGGGTTCTCTAACCTTAGGTGGTAATCAGACTAAGTGAAAATTAAATCTCAGAATTCCATACTGTGGACAAGCAAGGGGTAAATAATTTCGCTATCTTTCTTATGAAGTCATGGAAATTTATAGATAATAAAGAAAGACAATTTATGGAGAACTATAATCGCCTACATCTCCAAGTGGCATGGCATTTTTGTAAAAAAAAATGTACTTATAAAATAGAGTAAACTTAAGTTTGTTATTTGTTTATGATATGCATAAACTCGTTAATTCCTAATAGTCTAGTAAGGAGAGTAATGAATGGGAGGATTGCTGTCACATGACTACAAGCCAAGAGATGTAAAAATTATTGATAGGATGTTGATGTCGACTAGAGTAAAAGCAACTCAAATATCTGCCTAACGTGCCAGTGACGTCCGGACACCTGCCTTGAATTCATTCATCCTTAATAAACTGCCCATTCACAACCTGTTTCCCTGAATCTCTACGCATGCCATTTTGGTATATAACGTTTATATATTTCTTCTCTTTCCCGTCTCTTTGCCAGTTGTTTTTTTTTCTATTTCCCCCTTTATTCGTGCTGTTTTCTATCACGCATTTGTTTTCCCTTAAATTTTTTCTTTCCCGCCATACATTTGCACGTCTGAGAAAAAGGACGGATGTATTTTGCACACAGCCTAGCGGACATTATTGTAAGAACAATACGCCATCATTGGGAGAAGTAGTTCTTGTCTCTCACTCTCCGTTTGTCTGTCTCTCGTTTTCTTTTCATATTCTAGTTGTTTACCTATGTCTTTTACTTTTTTTTTCATACTCTTTCTCGCTCTCCATCTGTTCATTTTGCATTATATCCACATCTTTCAACCATTCTCTTTAGCTAACTATTTCTCTTTCTCTCTCTCTCTCTCTTCCTAAATTTTCATTCCCTTTTTTATCTTTCAGCTTATCAGTCTCGCTTGTCTTTCTGGTTACTCCCGTTAATTTTTCGGTCTTATTTTCACCTATCTTTCCTGACCGAACCTCTCTCTACATCTCTCTCTCTTTCTCTCTTCTAATACCTAGTACCTCTTGGTCACTCTCCACCCAACTCTCTCTCTTGATCATTACATATCTGTTTCTTTGTCTCTCTTTTTTCCTCTGATTTCAGATTCTCTCCATCAAACCAGTTTCTCCTGATAATTATCTCCGTCTCTCTCTCTGTGTAACTTTTCCCATTACTGTCGCTCCGTTTTTCTTTTTCTCCCCCTTTCTCTTTCGGTTTTATCTCTCCCTCTCAAGTCTTGTCAGTCTCTTAATATATTGATTTCTCGCATTGATATTATCTAGCACGTCTCTCTTCTTCTCTCTTTTTTCATTCACCTTTCTTTTAGTCTCTTGTTTTTGAAATCTTTCTTCTCTCTCGCTTTTCTGTTTCGATTTACTCTTTTTATTTCTCTTGCTTCTTTCTCTCTCCCTCTCTTTCTTTTTCTTGCTTCTTTCTCTCCCTCTCTTTCTCTTTTATTTCTCTTGCTTCTTTCTCTCTCCCTCTCTTTCTTTTTCTTGCTTCTTCCTCTCCCTCTCTTTCCCTTTTTATTTCTCTTGCTTCTTTCTCACTCTCTCCCTTCTCTTTCTCTTTCTATTTCTCTTGCTTCTTTCTCACTCTCTCCCTTCTCTTTCTCTTTCTCTTGCTTCTTTCTCTCTCCCTCACTTTCTTTTTCTTGCTTCTTCCTCTCCCTCTTTCTCTTTTTATTTCTCTTGCTTCTTTCTCTCTCTCCTTCTCTTTCTCTTTTATTTCTCTTGCTTCTTTCTCTCTCCCTCTCTTTCTTTTTCTTGCTTCTTCCTCTCCCTCTTTCCCTTTTTATTTCTCTTGCTTCTTTCTCACTCTCTCCCTTCTCTTTCTCTTTCTATTTCTCTTGCTTCTTTCTCACTCTCTCCCTTCTCTTTCTCTTTCTCTTGCTTCTTTATCTCTCCCTCACTTTCTTTTTCTTGCTTCTTCCTCTCCCTCTTTCTCTTTTTATTTCTCTTGCTTCTTTCTCTCTCTCTCTCTCCTTCTCTTTCTCTTTTTATTTCTCTTGCTTCTTTCTCTCTCTCTCTCCTTTCTCTTTCTATTTCTCTTGCTTCCGTCTTTCTCCATCTCTCTCTCTCTCTCTCTCTCACTCTCTCTCCCTCTTTCTTTATCCCGGCGTTGACTGTTTCTTCGTCTTACCTAAACTCTCGTGTGTGCGCGCACCACATACACACACGCACGCAAACGCGCGTGCGCACACACACACACACGCGCGCGCACGCAAACACACAGAGACACACACGCACTCATCGAGCTTTACAAAACAATCCTCTCTCTTGACTGACAGATGCGTTTCTCCTGCTATAAGCTCAATGAAAACAACAACACCCCCCCTACCCCCGCCTTCACACCTTATCAATCCACTTTTCAATACTTCACGCATCTCACAAACACGCCTGCCCAACAAGCTCTCGTTTACGTTAGTCACTGAGAGGGGTTTGTTTATAGAGTAGATTTTGTTTTTAGTATATTTCTATCAGCCTCAAATTCAGTTTTATTATCACTTCCTCTTCTCCTTCCCAGTTTTTTGTTTGCTTGCTTGTTTGCTTTTTTTTTTTTAGTTTGATTAATCAAAACAACTCTCCCACACCCCATCTTTCTGTTAATCCCGGCCTACCTTATCAAACGCGGCTACGGTGCACGGCGCATCAACGTCGTCCGTTGGGCGATAGCCGGCAAGAAGCATTTTTTTTTCTTGTCTGATGTAGTGTTATGGATAACGACCATGGCTAACCCCCTCATACTGGTATCGCTTTGTGCAATGTTCCTTGGAGGTCTCGGCTCGCTCTTTATGATAATTCCAATGTGTACCGAAACTTGGGCGTACTATCGTTTCAGCGAGACCGTGCTGCTAGGGAAGAACGACAATAAAGCTTACAAAGTTGTGCTGGTCAACCCCAACGAAACCGTAAAGATTTATAGAGTGGATCATTTCCCGGATAAGGACAACCACACTGCTAAGCCGAGTTATCTGTTCGCCCAGGATGCTGGACTTATACGCATTTGTGATAAAATTTCGGGTAAGTCACTTGCCAAAAGGTAGGAAACAACTATTTTCTCTTTGTTATTCATCCTGCTTTTTTTTAAAAATATTTCAACCCTTTTCATATATTGGCTCCAGACACACCAATATACATAAAACACTCCGCGCGCGCGCGCACACGCACACACACACACATATATTAAGTTGAATCGATGTGAGTTTGTGACCCTAGGTTTCACGCTATTTGCGATTGTCTGACAAACATTTTACACACACACACACACACACACACACACACACACACACACACACACATATATATTTAGTTGGATCGATGTGAGTTTGTGACCCTAGGTTTCACGCTATTTGCGATTGTCTGACAAACATTTTACACACACACACACACACATATATATATATATATTCTGCTATATTTAGATGAGTCTGCTACAATACCATATTAGTGGAGTCCTTACTGAGGATCGAAATCACTACCCTAACTAGGTGGGGTGCGACATCAACATTTTATCTATCTATCTATCTATCTATCTATCTATCTATCTATCTATCTATCTATCTATCTATCTATCAGTTTCACAAACACTGGTTTTCAAGATTTTATTCACGTGGAAATCGAATGTAACCCAGACATTCTACACACTTTAATTTAGGTTTCTTCCACCTTCCACATGAAACTACACATAGAAAATGTACGCACATCTCTGTGTATGAGGTCATATGTGTATGTGTGTGTGTGTGTGTGTGTGTGTGTGTGTGTGTGTGAGCGCCCCGGCCCGTCTCTGTGTGTAAGGTACTGAAAACGTTTCAGATCGCCTGAACTATCATTTCAAAATCAAAACAAACAAAAATATTTTGGGTAGTATTTCTTCGTCAAGCAATGAACCTTTTCACGACCCTTTCAAATACACACGCACACACAAACACACTTACACACACACACACGTGTGTGTATGCATGTGCGAGTATTCATGAACTCACTCATTCGAGTTTACAGTAGGATTTCAGTAACAAGTCTAAAATTGAACCCTACACCCTAGTCAGCTTTCTCTTTTATGGACGTCTCCGGTCCCCTGTAATGACCTCATCACCACCCTGAAAGAGAGGTAATGTTTGGGGCAGATGGTATGGAACTTTAATATTTATTTAAAAAGCCTCGTGGCTTTGGGTCAGGGAAATATAAAATGTGTAAGTGAGCCCAGTCTGTCTTGCTATTTACCCATAGCTTGGGGGAGAAGAAGAGGATTCATAGCTTTCACAAGGGTATTAGCACGTAATCCATTACATTCCATTACGTGCTAATACTCTTGGGAAAAGTATGAATCCTTTTCTTCTCCCCCCCCTCAGCTATGGGTAAGTAGCAGAACAGATAGAGTTCTATAGTCTTGGATGGCAACTGGTCTACCGCAGAAAGAAATGGCGACCTACTGCGGGAAAAAAAATTTCCGTTTATCACGCATGGCACATAACTGACTGATTGTATCTGAGCGCGTGTTTTTGAGTTCGATTCTCGTTCGGCGCCCGATGGCTGAGGCGAAAATGAACCGAATAAATGGAATTCATACATTTTTAAAATTTTTATAATGAATACTGAAGGTTACTTTTAGTCATGACATAAAAATGACGGCCTATATGAAATTGATGTTTTGTTCTATTTTCACATGCCATCCGGATTCTGATTTCTTCAAGGATATATATATATATATATATATATATATATATATATATATATATATATATATATATATATATGATATATATATATATGAAATTTTAAGTACTACAAAAGCCACTCCCCACGCATACACTCAAGTGTGTTTATGTGCGTGTGTTTTAATTTAGATTTTCGTTTTAATAAATTATTTCGCCTATTTTCCGAGAACAACTATTTCATTAAATTTGCAATTCTACTTATAAAATATAATTTTCTTATTCCTAATCATAATTAGTAAATCCTGAATCAGATTCCATGTCCACTTGGTCATCAAATAAATTGAAAGACACAGAAATGGTTGAAAAAAAATTACAATCTAAAAATATTTTATGGTTTTAAATAACCTGCAAATGGTTGATAAACCGTAAAAAACGAATCAATCAATCAATCAAAATCAAAAGCAAGAGTCCACGATAGATAATTGGCAATTTAACCACATTTGTTGTAATATTCTGTTGATATAACATTTTTACACATACAAGCGCGCGCCTCTCTCTCTCTCTCTCTATATATATATATATATATATACAAAAGTGAACATTGAAGTCAACACTCAGCAATTGCGTCTAGCATGAAACATTCTGTCGCCACTGAGTGTTGACTTCAATGTTCACTTTTATTTTATATTTACATACGCTCTCTATCTCTGATATTCAGCACTTCATCCCGTAAATATCGCACGCCTTAAACTATATTTCTTCATATATATATATATATATATATATATATATATATATATATATATATATATATATATATATATGCTTGTATGCGCGCGTGTGTGTTGAAAAGTTCAAATATCCATATATCACAATTATTTTGAAAGGGTTTCTTGGTTTGGCCGATAGGTTTTCATCAATACTCACATAGCCCTGCCTCCACCCTACACAAGGATATCAAATTTGGTTGAAGATTTTTATATTTACATTTTTTCTTTTTTTTTTTTTCTTTTTTCGAGACGTTTTTCTGGTTTCGGTGTGCATTTGAACATAAATTATCCAATATCTTAGGAACGCTTTAGGCTTTTATAAGTTATAATGAAAAAAATTCTTGTGGATTGATAGGGTTGTGTCTATCGGCATTGTGTATTTTTGTTGCTTTTCGAAAGGTCTAAGTAAATGCATTATAAACAAAGAACTTTCATTGGGCTTTACTCAAACGTACCTGAATGAAATATTACTGCTCAAGTACACCACACACACACACACACATATATATATATATGTGTGTGTGTGTGTGCGTGTGTGTGTGTGTGTGTGTAGACAGAAAGGGAGAGAGCATGAGAGATGTGTGTCTGTGTAGTATTCTACTTATGTTTATCTGCAGCTCAAGTTGGGCAACTCGGGGCCGTGTAGTGGTTAGCAAGCTTATCTCGCTAGAACAATTATGACTGAGTAGTCAGTTCGATCCTCACTAGGTGCCTCCTACTTTCGTCTTTCTGCTACATATAAGCTACGTTTGGAAAACCACTACAGCTCGGTTTGATTTTCTCCTCTTTTTTTTAAACAAATGTTTATAAACAACATGAGACTATTTTCAACATAAGGAATTTATTAGAAGTTCTTATTTATTGACATACATGCCTTAGAAACGGCCATAAGTGCTTCCGTAATAAATGCAACATGAATTCATCTGTGTATAAGTTCATTAATGTAAGTTCATGACGGTAAATCATTTATGTATATCTGATATTGTTTTTTTTTTAGCTCCATATTATGATCTACAGCAAGAATATTTTTAGGATCTCCAAATATTATAGAAATGAAAAAGAAACGTGTTTGACGTAAAACATACTCACCAACAGATTCAGTGGTGTTGAGACTAGCTTAAGTTAGAAATATTTTAATTCTTTTTAATTTCATCAGAAAATTTAAAAAATATATACTAGTCGGCTTTCTTGCTCAGAATAAATTATTTTCTGTTCCAATGCTCTATTCATCTCGAACTTTTTCTGCAAATTCCCATGTTGTTTGCATAACAACATCCTCCATACTTTCCTCCAGTTAATCAGTTTTCAAGCCCCGAGTTCTTTGTTCTTATGTACAAAATGTTTTTCTAGACAATTTTGTACACTGTTTCCGACTCATGATTGCACATACTGCAATATCAACAAATTAAGAAAAATAAACAAAAGTATAATTTCACTACAAATTGTACTTAAAGAATTTCACAGACACCTATTTCTTTGATATTGTACAAAAACTAGCGTTAGAAATTCATGACACTGTCAACGGTCTAAATCGTCTAGATTTATAAACATATACATGTTTGTTTCTAGGATGTCTCATGGGATCCGAAACAAAAGTGAAGATGATAAGACAAAGTGGAAATTTAATAACGATGCGTTTCACTTAGAGCTCTCTTTGGCTTCCCCAGGTTAGAATAAAAGAAAGACAAAACTGTATGTGAGGGAAAATGCATTGGGATCTCTGAGGATGAGTGGTGACCATGAATCAAATTAAATTAGATTACTTATCCCCTCCAATGTCCAGACTCAATAGAATATCTGTCCAACTGTTGATCTGTTTGTTTGCTTTATCTATATTAGAGCCGTTTGGTGTTGTTGGATATTAAATCAGTCTACCGAAACGAGAGAGTGTTTATATATATATATATATATATATATATATATATATATGTATGTGTGTGTGTGTGTGTGTGTCTGTGTGTCTGTGTGCCTGTGTCTGTGTGTCTGTGTGCATACATATACACTTACTCGGGCATATACATACATTAGAACCCTTTTTCTGTATACTTGTGCATACATACAGATCACGATGGATAAATTGTCGCCTAAATTACGCAAAAATGAAAATAACACTGACATCTCATTTTAACAGATATATTTACCAAAATTACTCAAACATATCTTGAAATACTAAAGAATGAATTTATTCAATGAAATTGCTACTGGCTTCAACCACGGCTTCCAGACGACTTAGGAATCTCCTGCAACTCTTCTGAATGGTTTCCTTGTTTAAGTTGGTGAATGTTGCCATAATCCTTGCCTTCAATTCATCTTTGGTGTTACAAGGAGTTTTGTTGGTTTCCTGCACAACTACGCTCCACACATAATAATCAAGGGGGTTGCAGTCTAGGGTGTTAAGTGGCCAGATGTAAGGGGTGATGTGGTCACAGAAATTGTCTGACAACCATGACTGGGTTTTCCTGCTTGTGTGGCATGGTGCAGAGTCCTGTTGTCAGACGTAGAGTCTTCCAGCAGCCACCCTCTTGACCCAGGACAGCACTACCTCCTCAAGGCACTTAATGTAGGCCATCATGTTGAGTCTGGGACCTTCACTAACAAATCGGAAGTTCTTTTCTTATCAGAACGAACAGAGTGAGTTTTCCGTGCTGCCGTACTTTTGTAATCACTATTAGACTCGTCCAACTCTTACCGAGTCTTCAGATTGACACCCAAACACTGTGAAATGTTAGTACTGGAGCTTCAAGCGCGACAATTTACCCCTCGCACTCTGTATGTTCACGCATATATATATATATATATATATATATATATATATATATATATATATATACGCTTGTATGTGTGTGTGTGTTTGTGTATGTGTGTGAGTATGAGTGTGTGTGTATACATGCATATATACATTAGAAAGGCTTTTTAGGTATACTTGTGCACATACATACATATACCAGACGAATTCATCTTAGTCTCTTCTTATCTATCTATCTATCTATCTATCTATCTATCTATCTATCTATCTATCTATCTATCTATCTCCGTTTGTTCATACATACACAAACAATTATATATATATATATATATATATATATATATATATATATATATATATATATATATATATATATAGAGAGAGAGAGAGAGAAAAGAGAAAGAGAGACAGATGGATTGAAATTCATTTCTATCTCAGTCTTTTTTTATATCTATCTATCTATATATTTATCAAGTCTCAATTCATATCTATCTATATATTTATCTATCTATCGATTCTATCAATCTCTTCATATCTATCTATCTATCTATCTATCTATCTATCTATCTATCTATCTATCTATCTATCTCATCTCTATTCATCTATCTATCTCATCTATCTATCTATCTATCTATCTATCTATCTATCTATCTATCTATCTATCTCAGTCTGTCCCAATCTATCTCTATCTATCTATCTATCTATCTATCTATCTATCTCATCTGTCCCAATCTATCTATCTATCTATCTATCTATCTATCTCAGTCTATTCATATCTATCTATCTATCTATCTATCTATCTATCTATCTATCTATCTATCTATCTATCTATCTATCTGACATTCATTATGACCATTCCTGTTCATATCACTGTATTTTCTCCGCTAACCATTGAGTTTATTTTTAGGTCTGAGATGGTCTTAAGTCAAAGTTGGTTGAAAAGTCCGTCAAGCCGGACGAAAAAGGAAATAAAATACAGTATTGGCGGAAAATACGTGTTTATTATAAGAAAAACGATGACTTTATTCACTTAGGCTTGCAAATTTCGATCATAAACTTTCCCCGCTTTCGACAGAAACACGGGCTGTTCTAACATTGTAAAAACTTAACTGCTTCGTTGGGTTTGTAACAGATCAACAGACTGTCGTGTCAGATCAACAACTGAAGTTGGTCTTCAGTCTTCTAAAACTTGATTGTTCTGCAATCAGGAAATTCTTACGTTGTAAAATCTATTCTTGTGTCCTTTCGATCATAAATTTGTCTCGAAAGGATAATCAAACAAAAGCGGTTATTCGTGCGTTGGTTAGAGTTCTCAGCCACAACTGACCAAGAAGTAAAAATCGAATGGTTTTAGGTTTGTTTCAGCTTAGGATAAATGATTAATGACTCGTAATTAACAAGCAATACTTTCTCACACTTTTCCAAATTTGGCTTGGTCAACTCAGTGTCCAGTTCTAGTTTGTTACTCTCCAATTTGACTAGTCTGCATTCATCTCGCGACAACCACCTGGGCGGTAAAAACATTACTTTATCTGATAATCCATCTTCAGCCAACTGAACTTTACGGGGGGGACATTTTTTTTATTTTCCAGCATCATCGTTATTTATATTAGATGACACACCCGTAATAATATCCTCCCATCAGCATTTTCCACGGAATATCTTCTTACATTGTGAACGAGAATTAATTATCAAGAAATAGTAATGAATTATGTATCCGCAATAAAACCTCGCTTTGGGGTTTTTCATTATTATTTTGCACATGGCTCTGAGCCAGGGTGGACAAATCCATCAAGTATTATCTTCGGATACCATCTGCCAGCCAAATTCTGGGTCTTATGTCAATATAATTTAAGTTTTGCTTTCGACAGTTCTGGGTGGGTCCTCTTTTCAAAATTTGTTTTTCTCTTTTTTCTTTTTAGTTCAAAATAAAAGATTCTGTTTTGTGTTTTTGTATAAACTGGAGCGCTTTCTGGTTTGCTTGAAAAGTTAAAACTACCCATATCAGACTTCCGGGCCTTTCATATTAAACCTTCAAGATTAATGTCATTTTGGCTACTAAATAGATGTTATTTTCTTGTAAAATCCACAGGAGTAATAATGAAGACACATTTGTAGTGTTGAAGCATAAAAGCATTATGTTGCGATTTTTTTTACATAATTTAATATCTTAAAATAATATATATATATATATATATATATATATATATAGTAAAGGTATCAAATCCGTTGATATATAATCCAAGTAGATCATAGTAATATAAAATATTAAAATTTAAATATTAAAACTGATCCAAAAAGAACTCAATGTATTTATTACTACTGAGCAAATAATTAATAAATAATGAAATCCAAAATCACCTCATATGGGGAATAGCCTATTTCGGTAGACAAAGATATCGGTTGTCTGTCTTATCAACCCCTGTGTGGACTGAGTTCGTGTCAAAAATAGAAATTTAACTGTGAAAGCTAAAAAACAAAAAAAGGCGAAAAACTAATACAGAAATTATTCATTTCAATGTTTCAGTCAGACGAAAGGCACGAGACAAGGGTCAGGGGAGCGTCTTAAAGGGAAGAAGTTTTATAAAATCAAACCAGAATATTAACCTTATGACATTAATTTGGGGTTATATGAAAAATCAAATATTAATGTAAAATTAAAAGAGGAATAAAAAGGGGTTTAAAAATGACATTAAAATATATAAATAAAAAGATGCAAGAGATTAATGGAAAGAGAGTTGTGGAGATATTAAAGTAGGGGAAAGTTTATAAATTATAGATATAGTGTAAAGAGGTTATAGAGGGGAGGAATATAGAAATTAGAATTAATTATACTTTCGACATTTGAAGAGTTATATATATATATATATATATATATATATATATGCACAAATTCAAATTTCCATAATATAGGTTCATATTGGCTAATATATATATATATATATATATATATATATATATATATATATATATATATATATATATATATATATATATATAAGGAGGATAGCGGCTCAGATTAAAGAATCGGAGGGTGGTGTTCAAATTATAGTCGAATCCATTACATTTACTTATGTGCTAATACCCTTGGGAAAGGTATGAATCCTCTTCTTCTCCCCCCAGCAGGACAGATTGGGTTCTACAATAGACATAGAATATTTATCTTGCATATATATATATATATATATATATATATATATATATATATATATATATATATAGTCGTATTCGACGTATGAGAGTCAAACCGCTCAGTTCCTAGGAATCGACTGCGCAGACACCAGCACATATATCGTGTTCGTCAGATTCAGTTACGCGCAAAATCCCTTAGGAAAGGTGTGAATCTCATAGCTATTGGTTATTTAGTAGGACTTGTATCAGTACATCATTATAATGTCAAAATTGGTAGGCCTTAGTACATCATTATTATGTCAAAAATTCTTAAAAGGTCAGAAGTAAATATTTTTTGGCTTTAAAAAACCCACAAGAGGTTGATAAGCCATAAAAACAAATCAATCTTAAATACGTAATTTTCAAATTATTTGATACATCGTTTCTTACCTCATTTAACTTACATCACGTGTTTATAATTATATATCTAATACGGGTAGATGTAATAAGGATTATCCGTTATTTCCTACTTACCTACGCCATACACTCGGCGATCCACCCGATTAAATGCTTCAGGAATCTTTCATTATCGGGAACAGAGGTTGGAATAAAGAACATTAATGAAATTTAGAAATGTTAATCATTCGCCCGAAACTCATTTAATCTTGTTCATTTTTAGGTTTTGTTTTCTTTAAATTTATTTACAGTGCCAATCGCAATTTATGAGCGCCTCTTTTAGAGCAATATTTATGGCTTAGACATTAGCGCATTTTGATTTTGTCGAGTCTATCGCTGGGAATAGAGATTTGTTAATTACACACTTTTTAGGAACACATAGAGAAGTGTTACACACGCACACTCACAAACACGATATATATATATATATATATATATATATATATATATATATATATATATATATATATTGTTGTATTAGGCACAAATCCTTCATTTATACATGTTTCATTAAAGACGACAGACAAGGTACTACGATTAAAGTTTTTATTAAATTTTTCTTATGTTCGAACAAGTTTTTTCTTTTTTGGACACAGAGTGTATAGAAGCCGTTTAAATTTTCTATAATTCTGGGCGCTTTCGACTGTACTTTTAGCCATTATCAAGGATTATTTTGTTTTTGTTTTTTAATTGGGTGTACGGGTTGTGTGTATGTTTTTAGAGTTATAGGGATGCTTTATTTTCCGAACAAAGTTAGCACATTGGGTCCGTGTTCCTAGTTAATATTATCAAGTGTTGGCTTTTCCTTTTTTATTATTAAGGCTTCCATTGTTTTTTAATCCTTTTTTTACATGTGGATGAAGTTATTATGTTTGTATTTTCTACTAGTATGTTTCGGATGGAGTCTGGTAAGTTTTTATGTGTGTTTAAATGTATTCTAATAGAGCTGTGGTCGGATAGGTATAACGTAAGGCGTCTGGATAGGCATGTAGTCGTGTGACCGATGTAATTATTTATGAATTCGGTTTGATCAGGAACACAGTTCCTTAAGGGGCATTTGAACTCATAGAAAATGTTCGTTCGTTGTCATTTTGATTTTGCTAGTGTGTTGTTATTTTTGAGGATAAGGTTAGCTGCTTTAAATTTTTTTGTAGTAGATAATTAATTTGATTTTTTGTTCGGGTCAGTTGGGGTAGTGTTTTTCTTTATGATATTTCAAGGTAGATTCATCTTGTTGGTAGTTGATGTGCATTATTTTTTGTAGAAAATATTTATGTTATTTTTGACTGCGTGTCCACTATCGTTGTTATTTACTTTGGGGAGAAACAGTCTAATTTGGTGGTCTATAAGGTGGTTAGGGAAACCATTGTTAAATGTTTCCAAAAAAGAAAACACTTGTTCGAACACAAGAAAAATTAGATAAAAAGCTCAATCGTAGCACCTTGTCTGTCGTCTTTAACGAAACACACACACACACACACACACACACGCACACACACACACACACACACATATATATATATATATATATATATATATAAGTGAACATAGAAGTCAGCACTTAGAGTCGACAGTCTGTTTAATGCCTGACGCAATCGTCAGGCCTGACGATTGCGTCTAGCATGAAACAGATTGTCCTCTCTAAGTGATGACTTCTATTTTCACTTTTATATTTACACACGCTCTATCTTTGATATTGAGCACTTTATCCCATAAATATAGCACACCTTAAGACTATATTTCTTCGTATATATATATATATATATATATATATATATTATAAATTAACTGATTTAAAATATGGTTTTTTCTCTACACAGTAATAACCATGTTTCAAAAATGGAAGCTAAAAGCTTCGAATTTAATTTTGTAATTAAATTAAAAACATTAATTCCATTTCATCCTCAAGCGAATTTTGCTAAATTAAATTCGAAGTTTTTACCTTCCATTTTTGAAACATGGTTATTACCGTGTAGCGAAAAAAACATATTTTAAATCTGTTAATTTATAATATTAATGCTCTGTAAATTTACATTGAGCACTATTTTGTAAAAATAAAAATATCAATAAGAACACCGGATGATATATCTTACTGTTCTTTCTTTTAATTGTATATATATATATATATATATATATATATATATATATATATATATATATATATGTGTGTGCAGAGAGAGAGAGAGAGAGAGAAAAGAGAAAGAGAGGAGAGAGAAATAAAGAGAGGGAGAAAGGGCCTAGAAAACATGTAAAATTACTAGAGTTTAACGAAAAATTTTCGAAAGAAAGTGTTTAAAGTCTTTAGTAAGCAATCGTACAAACTTTACGGTACTAGCCCTG